GTTGCCTGTTATGTTTAGGAAAGAGTCCATTTTTAGAAAAAGCTCAACTATACAAAGGCAAATACTCGCATGACTATTTCAAATTATAGAGATTGATGGAGAGTCATTCACTGTGTGATTCCTTCTTCTAGTATGAGTTTCGGCAGATTCTTTTGCGATAGCCTTGCGCAGTTTTATTTCATCACAAAACTTTTTCCAATCACTATGCTTTGTATGATTGAATTGCAATATAAACCGAACCTTTAACTATTTTTTCACCTCGGATTTAAGATTCAAAATTTGTTATTGCGACAGGTGTATATCCACGAATTCAAACTCAACGTACTCAGTGTTAACGGATCGAGACATATATGAAAGATGTGGCAATGAAGTATTAACTAGAGCTCAGTGAAAACCTTCTGGGAATTTTCGTCGTGGCGAACTCAAATTTGATGAAGACGCTAGTGAAAAGGGCAGCAAAACTAAGTAAGAAGCAAATCCATTGCTTCGGAGAATCTAAAGATAATTAGAAATGCGAAAAAATGCGGCAATTGGGTGTTGAATTAGTCGAACAAAAAGTAAGAAACTGGCATCTCTGAAATCATCAAAGCTTCTTCTGCAGAGTATGAGTGACCTATTCCTCAAAAATATTGTGCACTTCTACACGTGAAAAAGACCTTCCACGACATCAGCTCAGTAGTCGAAACACCACAGCACTTTCAAACCCAATCCTCCAAAAGAAGGACATGATAGCCATGCGAAAATATTTAGCTGCTACGAACGTCTTTCAAAGGAACATTGGGTAGTTAGTAACAAAGCGCGTGGCGCGCATCCAGGTGGTGGACAGTAGTTCAATGTGAATCAAAAGCGAACTTGTCTTTTCATAGGATGCAGGTGGATGTTGGAGAAAGGCTTGATGCTTTCCACTGAGCCGATCTGTTTTATACCTTCTTTCTCAACGTTTGCATTCATGAATGTAATCGTGGATATATTTCCGCCCACGGCAGATTATATTTTACAACTTAATTCGGTCAAAATCTTACAACAAAGTGACTCAAAAGTATATGATGGGTGCTAGGATTGACATTCAGTAAGTGTCACATTTTGCAAAGTATCGAAAATCTTTTTTGAGTATATCTAGCCCCTACGCTTAGGGCTTACTTACCAATACTTGAACATAGTAAGAAAGACATAGTGAGTTAAACAAGCATTCCCTTGACCATCGGGTACGACGGAAATAGCAGTATATTCAAGTACCAAAAGTACCTGACAGAGTACCAAAATATCAAAGCTATCCTAGGTTGTCAAATTCCGAAGGGCCAAGGTGATGACTTCTACCTATGATGCACGCGCACTTGCATCTGAGTCGTTTGTGGATGGCTTGATAATATAGGCAGGAAGGCAGAAGGGAAAAGCTATGACGTCATTAGACTAATTGAGAGAAAAAATACGCCTATTTAACATTGTTACACCGAAAAACTGCCTCTTAGATCATGCTATAGTCGAGGAGTAAGTGTTGTCAGCGCTCTCTCAAACGGGTTTGGCCATGAGCATTGACTTATGCGAACAACCGTCGACTGAATCATCTGCTTATTGTGGGCAAGGTAGACCGTTTCCAGCTATTGACTGTTCCGTTTCATGAAGTATCGTGACAGTTTCTTCCAAGAATGTTGAGTGGCAAAGGAATATTCATTTCCAAACGGAAGCTGAACTTACATTTCTCCCTTGCTGTGGACAACGTGCTACCACTACACCACTGGAAACGCCATTTTGCGACCAATTCTCCTTCGAAATGAACTGTCTGTAGCTCCAGCAATCAATCAAAATGGGTATGGTATGTTGAGCACATATCGGTGTTAAGCCCGGGTAGCCTGACAGCTACCTTTAAAAATTTGCTTACCCGGCAAAACCTGTCAAAGGTGATTGCTGACAGTTACGATAGTTCATATCGGCGAGAAGACTGACAACAAGCGGTGACTTCGACGATTGAGTGGTAGGTGAGCCCCGGTAAGGATGGAGCGCGAGTTTTAACTTCCCTCTGTGGTCGAATTTTTGCTTGTCACTCAATATTGTTTATGTGAGTGCCAACTTCATTTGTGCTTGTTAATAAAACAGTGCAGCAGTTATCCATAGCGTATTTCGAAAAAACATTCATGACTTTTGCCTTCTAGTTCCAGCTCACGATATAGTGACTGCTGTGAGATGGATTGCCACCAACGAAGCAGTACTTTAAATCTAAATGTTCCTGAAACCTGGTGGATAGCTTCTAGGTGTGCACAGGTAATCTCAGCGTGACTGCAGTCTTGTATGAAAGGAAAGACGCTGACTGTCATCTAATTGTGTAGTAGTCTACCGCAGCGACTCGTCGTGATGCGACGGTTACGATGGCCAGCAACCAAAATGAAGTTGAGAATAGTAGACTCGACATTGTGGCTATGATGTGGAAGAAACCGTCGAAACGTTTGCCATAGTAGGGATGTACAAAAGCCTTTTCTAATCTCATTTATGGAGCGAAACGCATTTTCGTTAATCACTTACCGACATCAACCTGCTATTGAAACGATTTCGATGCAAATTTCATAAGGTTAGAAAAGTCTCATAGGGAAGACTAAATGATTCTTGAAGTTATTCTAAATCATAACACTATAAATCGAAAATTTTCTTGTCAGCTATTGCTGCTGTCTCAACTCTACATCTCGCCAGGTCAACGTCCCCGCACGATATTCAACCTCTTAAAAAAAGTCTACGAAATCGCAGAGGATTTTATGTCATCGTAAACTGAGTATATTAGGTACATGACGCTTGAAGTTATATCGACGAAGAATGCAATTGGTTTATAAGCATGTTTACGTTAGCGTGTAGCACAGTGGCTAGAGGAGCGCTGGGCTGCAATTATGACCGATGGTTCGATCTCGCACCTAATGCTCACCATACCGTTCATCCGTCCTGGGTTGCTGAACTAATACCAAACTTGTCTGGGAGGATAGCGGCATCGACTTGATACATCTCTAGGTCACCACGAGTCGTTGTCCCGATATACATTCACTCACCTCTAACGATACTTGATGACTCCCAATGAGTGACGCATCCCTCAAGGACTGATACCGAGAGCTTCATATTCGCTAACGTTAAAATTATCAGAGGCAAGAGTTCAAAGAGAGAAGTTGACTCACGAAGTTACCTGAACTGATATTCCGGTGATGATTCCACGAGAAAAGGCAAGCTATAACTCACCACAAAACTGAAACGCTGCAGAAAAGCTACTGAAGAATATTTTGAAGGGAGAATAGCAACACTCATAATGGAATCTGCAAAAATTTGAAGGCGCATCTGTGAAACTCACCGAAGTTCCCAAGAATTGAACCTGAACACCTAGAGGACCTCCCGCTAATCCTCATCAACAAACTAACTTTATTATTTACTCGTCACGTGTTTGAATATAAGACCTGAAGTTCAGCAAAACAGGATTATTGTATAGATCGGTTAACCTCCACGATATTGGCATCTATCGCCCTTTCTGTTTTATGTCTGTAATCTATAAGCTCTTCACTCAAATCGTTTCGAACAAAATTGCAGAACAGTGAACGGAAAACGGCTTTGCGAACAAGCGGGATTTCGAAAAGGACTCAGTACTGCGGATCATATCCACGCAACAACGAGACTTAGTGAAGTCTCGCCAAGGTGAAAGAGATTGTTTAGTACTGCTTTCCGTCTTTAAGAAGGACTTTTGTCCAGGTGAAACAGACGAAGACATAGAAGCATTGGACGATCAAAGCATTCTTATTCAGTGCACAAAAATTTTCCTGAGCTATGTGAAAATTTTAGAAGCAGGATATCATCAATCTAAAACGACTTCATTGTCGATCTAAGCAATTCCGAAAGGCCATATTTTGCTGAGTTTATTTATTGCCACCCTCCTAAACGTCATGTGATCATCAAAATGAACAATATGAGAGTCATAATCTATAGCTATCAGTTACACCGTTTTCGTATTACTAGTGATAATATTATTATACTCTTGATACATTAGTGAGACGAAAGTAAGTCTGACCGATTTCGACAGTGCTTGTAGAAAGATCGGTCTCCGACTGAATTTCGCGGAGACGAAGTTTATGAGGCGAGAATAGGCTTTAAGTGCCCCATACACACTCAACGGAATGAATTTCTCCGTTTCTCAGATACGGTTGAATATCTATATTTTGTCTCATATCGAATTATTGTCAAAAGGCTGCGTTACGTTAGATAATGCTTTCGCAACACTTGAATACGATAACAGCATTACCGCCCACCACCTAAATGGAATGGGCCACCGCAAGAGTGACATAACCCACCAGCTCAACCAAAACCCAAGCTCAATGCGCAGAAGATCGTGTTCTCGGTTTTTCTGAGATTGACGAGGCACGCCGTTTTGGAAACTGTTTGAGAACAAAAGACAATCAATGTCAACGTTTGTAGAAACAAATCCGAGATTGGGCATCACTAGTGCGAGAGAAAACCCCGAAATGTCTCAGCATCGTCGTTGTTCAGGATCACGCTCGAGCTCACACTGCAAAGTCGATCCGTCATATTTTGGGAAAACTGAAGCCAACCACGGTGCCACATTCATCGCGAGTCGATACTACTTATCAGTCATCTCTTCCGCACCCTAAAGCAGTATCTGCGATAGAAAGAATCAAAAAAACTACAGCTAGCTAAATTGACCTCACCTACTTCTCTAATGTTCAGTCTCATTCTTCCTAGAAGGGAGGGATTCAGCCTTCGCCCAGCAAACGGTTGCATCATTGGTCATGATGGTAATTTTAATGTCGATTAATTGAATTTCTAGATGAGTAACAACTCAGTGATGCTACAATACTCTTACGTGGTGAGGGACTCAAGCCCGCATCTCATTCCATCTGGGAATGTGTGCTCTAACCCATTACGCTACTGACACCATCACTCTCGCTACGCTACAGCACACCTATCTGTCACCAGCCACAGATAAGTGCGTTGTGACGTAGAAAGAGTGATGAAAAAACAGGGCATCAGTAGCGCAATGGGTTAAAGCACGCATTCCCGGATAGGGTGAGATGCGGGTTTGAAGCCTGCCTGAAGCAAATTTTGCACATCACTCTACATCTTTTGGTATATCTGCAACATCATATAACCACTAAAACTGCTCAATAAAAGAATTCTTTCAAATAACGATTGATTGAAAAAAGCGTCGAAATGAGGAAAGAATCATGGGGAAATCTAATACCATCTTTAGACCTAGTTTGATTTACCTATATGGTACTGTTTTACATTTAAGTTAGGTGCTGTCAGGGTAGCCGTCGTTGCAATAGAAAAATCTTGTTTATTGAAAAAAGATAAAAAAAATTTCGAGCAATGTTAATTGATTTCTATCAGTTGACTGTGCTTTCCAGCAGTCAATTAGTCTCACTCAGCTCTGAATACTGTAACACACAGATGGCATTCAGAACATTGACTAAAGAGTATACTGGAGTATCTCTGAGTGACGAACGTTTCAGATTATAGTAAAGGATCCCATATCTTTCACTTTAACACTTGGAAGCGTGGATTGCCGATAAAAAATTTTCCGCCCATAGTTTAGGAAATTTTGGTTATTTTGTACAAAGGAAAATACGATTTACCTAGTGATGTGCAAAATTTGCATTGATTTGGAGGACAGCTAGATGCGCTGTAGCGTAGAAAGAGTGGTGTGCAAAATGGGCGTCAGTAGTACAAACAGGTCAGAGCAGGCTCTTCCGGATAAAGTGAAATGTGGGTTCGAGTTTCAGCCTGGCGCAAAAGTTTTTGCAGCATCACTTTAGATCACAAGGGTATATCTGAAACATCATATCGGCTCTAAGAGCGTCAAACGAAAAGAATTCGAGCAAATGAGATTTTTGGAGCATATTCTCAATCGCATGATGTTTGTAAAGTTTGTAATATGGTGTGCTTTCGCAGTTGAACGCATTCTCTTTATTATTTAGAACATTTGGGAAACTTGATAGTATTTAAGTAATCGGTGGTCGCTGATGGACTTTCTCAGCAAAGTTGTTACATTGTGCTGCGCGGCTGGCCGGGCACCGGCATCGCTTCCTTGATAAGTTTGCACTGTTTGTCATGAAGATCGACATATTCTCCAGTCCGACTATCCATTGAGTCTTTGTTGAGCACCAGTGCCCTTCGATTCCCAGGATATATATCGCGACCACCTCTCAGATGGTGTTCTGTAATGAAAGCGTTAAATTTAAATAGATAACTATGTATCTGGTTGCCGAGCGTCCACATTAGAACATACCCAGATCGAGCGAAATCTGCCCACATCTTCATCAAGTACTTGGAAAACTCCTGTTCTGTTCCAAGTAGCATCTGAAAGCAACATTTCAACACCAAGCTCCTACAAAATATTAGTATGAAGCTCACTTGATCGTAGAGCTATTGGTTCAGAAAGTGGTTGTCCAAACATGTACTCAATATCATAACCATGCATAACTCCCATCCATTTCGGCCACGGATTTGCAGATGAGCTGAGTGACGTAGCGTTGCTTGGGACTAGCACAAGAAAAGTCGCAGATTTGACACCTACCGCACGTTGAAGTAGTACATGTAGACGGGTACCCCCTTTTTAGTTAAAGCGTTAGCGAATTCTGCAAGATCGCAGGTGAAGAATAGATCGCCTAAAAACCGAGCAACGCCGTCCCGAAGTTTCTCCCTGCAAACTTAAATTTTGTTCATTATAATTTGGGAGACGATCTTAATATACATCAACGTCATCACCGAGTCCACTATGAAAACATGGCTGCGATTCTTGAATGTTAACTTCGTCTCACTGATTCCAGTGAGAAATTCAAGTATTAGCGTTAAGTACTTCGAAATATATAATTACTTGTGACCATTTGTGAACACTTGACTTTTTGAAATTGCATGTCAAATTTTAGGAGTAACACGAGATGGCAACGAGCGCTGCTTACAATTTCATTTTATTTAATTTGGAACATGTTGAAGTTATTTGACCTGTTGGATGAGCAAATCTTATGTCAATATGGCCTATTTGAACAAACAAAGGATGATATTTGCTGAAAGGCTGACAAATTTTGAATAATTGCTTTGCTAGATGTTCCATTCCGACACTGTAGAAGATTGTTGGATCAGTCGTCCTGTGTCTTGCAGTAAATATGAAATGTGTGGCTGCCGGCGAAATGTTGCTGAGACAGCGGAAACAGCACACAGAAATGAACCGCATTTTGATGACTACGCTTAGTCCACGGCAAACAACTATGCATCGACAAGAACATGGATTTTTAGGTGACGAATGAATGTAGTGATTTCTACGATGAAGCGGAGGCCATCGTTTACGAAGGAACCTCCCTGAATAAAGCCGTCAGCGTTCCCACATAAAATGAACATAGACCGTTTGAATGTCACAGATGCTTCACTCTTACCTCAAATGCCAAAGATATCCAGACAATTTAGAAATGTTGTTTTGTAAGAACAAAGCTTGACATGTAAATAAAACACTGCTCAAATTCAAGTAGCAGCTACCCAACAGTCTTCCGAGCAGAAAACAGTTCCTTATAATCACTGATGATCATGTCTTTGCTCTCCTTTGAACCATTGAAATAAGTCATAAACAGGCCCATCGACTGCCCATATTGCCCTCTGGAAGAGGTTTAAAATTATATTCTGTTATAAATCTGTTACAAAACCACATTACGAATTCTTCCTTACTCGCTTATGAGTGCTTGATTTTCTTTAGCTTCCACTGGCAGCTCACTATCAAACACAAAGCCAAAGTAATTTAAGAAGTACGGCAACCATAAAGTTCCTTCGTCATTCACCGTACCAATTATGGCGGAAACATCCCTTTTGAAATGCCCTTTAGATAGAAGTTCCGCAATATTTCCCTGAATCTTGCATCAAAATTGGTTTTTTAGCTGCGTTCACCAACTAGACAGCATCTTACCTTGAAAAAAGCTTTGTCGTCATTCATAGGCACAAATGGAATCGACATTGGAAGCTCGAGTAAGAACATGTTGTAACTGGCCAACTGGGAACAGTACGTAGGTTTTTTCTTAGCTTTTAAACAACTTTCATTAGGAAATGCACTAGTTTGACTTAAGTTCTGTCGAAACTGACCGTTGACATTTACGTTAGGACAATTTTTTTATTCTGTTAATTTTCTTACTTGAATTTCAGGCGCTGGTTTTCTTTTCAGGCATGAGAGGATAGAATTAGGGTTTTTATCCTCGGTGCAACTCAAATTTTTTGCCAGCTCTAGGGATACATTTTCCATAATGTCCGGAGTTCGAGAAGACCACAGATTTGTGACGGACCCACTCTGAAATGATAATTGATTTAGCTTTACAAAAGCATTTTGACAGAGTGAAAAAGGCAAGTACCAACAAGACAGATAATTTTGCTGAAATAACCATGACTTTCTTCAGCAAGCAAATGCGCTGTGACGGAAGCGGAGCCAGCCGACTCTCCAACAAGTGTCACCTTGTTCGGATTACCTCCAAATTCCCCTCAATTTGGATACTTGAAAGGCGCAATTTCTATCGAGTAGTCCTACTCGACAGATACGAACTTACATATATTTTGACCAATCCACTTCAGGGCAAGCTGCTGATCTAACAAGCCCATATTCCCTGTCACAGATGTACCATTACCGAGGTATAGGAAGCCGAATGGGCCAAGCCTGATGGAAAGACAAATCTGTGGAAATGTATAATCCATATAATGTTGACTAACCGATAGTTTATGTTTACAACTACGAAATTATGCTCAGCAGCCAATACCTTGCCGTTATACAAATCGAGTGAAGGCGAACCAGTGAAAAATCCTGCAAAACAAAACTTATCGCGATTGGAAGTGTTTATTACACTGCTCGCTCTGAATGTTTTATATAACACAATTATGGGAATACTAGTACTTCACAGTCCGTTTAGCTCATGTGAATCAAAAAAAGTCTTGTTGTCCATTAAAGCTACCTACCTCCACCGAAAATCCACACTAGAACGTCGCGAGAGGGTCTTTCAGGAACCCAGATATTCATGTAGAGACAGTCCTCGCTGATCTCCTGAAAATATGTATATTTTGTTACACAATTTTGTCACTGCGATCTATTGTAGGAACCGAATGTCGGAATTGTGATAAACAGCTCTTATAATAAAAAAGAAATTCAAGACATTGATCCCATACAGAACTATTCGGTGGAGTCCACATTTGAGTTCCTCGAAATCCTGGAAAAGGATAGGGCCTGAGAATGCAAGAATTTGCCGGTTTCTTAGCATCATGTATGCGATCTAGAAAATGAAAAAGACCAAAAGTGAGCAAAGGGCTGTTGTTAGTCAAATTTAAGTGATTACGTACGGGTGAAGTTGAAACTCATAAGATCACATATGTGAAATTTCTTTGGTTTCAGCCAAGTTCAGAAATCAATTACAGATGCTTAGCGGGTACGCGTTCATCGTTGCATTCAGATATCCTTGAGCACGAATCTTCGGAGGGTAAGAACCCATTAACAGAAAATTGCGGAGTTACAGTTATAAATCACAAATGCTGAGCGGTATGCAAAACTACGTAAAAATTTTGGAAAGCTTAGAACACACAGGTAGGATTTGATCTCTTGCTTTGCCTACACCGAGGTCGCGTGTACCACTACATCACCGAATGCGACGCTGTGCTCTCAAACTTTTTTGATCTAGGGCATCGCAGCTCAACAACCAATCGCTGATGAGTCTAGTTTAGTAAATGCGTAGCGATATTAACCCCTTCACGTTGGCGTGCTAAGTTTTATAGCATGTCGCGCGATGATTAGATTTTTACATTGAAGCACGTCGCAATGGAATTGAGGAAATTCATTTGAGAAAGTGGAGTTCTGCAATGACATTATCATCACAATGATGAACTGCCAGTTAAATGATTTCTACAAGGATGATTTTGCACAAACAACTATATAAGTGAAAAAAACCTCCTATAAATGAACAAGAAAATCACATCCTTGCAAAAAGTTCGACTGTTATACAACATTTGCTTCTTTTTTTAGTCTGTGTTTTGTAGTCATTCGATAACTTGAAAAACCAACTTTGACAGTTATCTTAGTCTG